AGGCATTGGGAACCATGGAGGGAACAGAAGCTAGCTTGCAGAGGGATGCTGAGCCGGGACAGAGATCCTCTGAGGATGGAGATGCCCTAGGCCCTGGAAGGCCACAAGGCGGAGGTGGATCTGTAGCTGGGCCCTCGTCCCCGGGCGGGGAACGGTGGGGCAGGGCAGAGCAGGCCAGCACGGGGCTGACATTGTCTCACTTCTCTCTTGTGTAGGTAGGGAACCTTGGTCTTCTTTTCATGCTCCTGTTTTTTATCTATGCTGCCCTGGGAGTGGAGCTGTTTGGGAGACTAGGTGAGTGTGGCCACTCTGTGCCTCTCCCACAAGGTGATGCTGGTCCCCAGAGAGGTGGCTCCTGTGTCTACCCCACCACACCTCCCCATAGGTTTATAGAGAGTACAGGGTACTGGCCTAGACCAAGTAGTCCACGAGCCTTGTGGTGTGTCCTCAGACTGCCTGTTCACCTCCACCTTGCCAGCCCACTGTTTAAAGCAGGTACACACCTGTGCACACAAGCCCACTTAGAAGCATGCTCCCAGATGTGTGATGCACGTGACCACACTCAAGCCAGCCAGGCAGGGCCACATTCTGGGGGTGAATGTGTGCACTGGAAGACGTGCACATACTGGCACATCCCCATGCCTCACCCTGAACACTGTCCCCAGGAAAGGTTGCCAGCGATGGGTCTTCTGTATTATTACAGCAGACAAGTCTGAGACCTCATTCTGTCTAGGCTAGGGCATGTTGGGAACTGCTTGGCCCTTCCACTAGCTGTGGGGATCTTCTAGGGCCTTCGTGTGCCCCAGTTGGACAGAGGCCATGCAGGTTGTCACAGAATGTTGTCTGCCCACCCAGAGAGCCAAGTCCAGGCACGGCTCCCACTCAGTCATCACACACGTTCACCTCAAGTGTCTACATATCATTTCTTCCCTGCCTCCAAGACTACCAAGACAGGTCTGGGGGCCAGGCTTGGCAGCCAGGCCACCTTGTGCCCCAGAGAACCCCATGGCTTGGTACATACCAGCCACAAGCAGAGAGGCCACGACTAAGGCTTGGGGGTGCTTAGGAACTCAGCTAGTGCTGTCTGCAGAGGACAAGTCTGTGCAGAACAGGGGCCTGGGCCCCAGGCTCCAAACACACACGCCCCAGCCAGTCCCACATGGGACGTCGTCTGCTGACCTTGCCCCAGTCCCACCGAGGCAGGAGTGTGCTCTGAGTGGGCCGGGACTCTTCCTTGCAGAGTGCAGCGAGGACAACCCCTGTGAGGGCCTGAGCAGGCACGCTACCTTCACCAACTTTGGCATGGCCTTCCTCACGCTGTTCCGAGTGTCCACGGGGGACAACTGGAACGGGATCATGAAGGTAATGGCGGGGCTGCTCCTCCCGCCCCTTTTCCTGGCTCCCACGGGCGGGGGCCGGGGCGGGGGTGACAGGGGTGAGGGTGACGGGGGCGGGGGTGACGGAGCCATGACCCACCCTGCTGCCCGCCCCAGGACACACTCCGGGAATGCGCCCGTGAGGACAAGCACTGCCTCAGCTACCTGCCCGCCCTCTCGCCCGTCTACTTCGTCACCTTCGTGCTGGTTGCCCAGTTTGTGCTGGTCAACGTGGTGGTGGCCGTGCTCATGAAGCACCTGGAGGAGAGTAACAAGGAGGCCCGCGAGGATGCCGAGATGGATGCCGAGATCGAGCTGGAGATGGCTCAGGGCTCCGCAGCCCAGCCCCCATCTGGAGCTCAGGTAAGGCTTCCTGGGGGGCCGAGGGTGGTCCCGGGGCTTCTGGGGGGGGCACTGAGGGGCTGATGAGCAGCTTTCCTCACCACAGGAAAGCCCGGGGACCCAGCCGGACACTCCAAACCTCCTGGTCGTGCGTAAAGTGTCTGTGTCCAGGATGCTCTCGCTGCCCAACGACAGCTACATGTTCCGGCCCGTGGCGCCTGCCGCTGCCCCACACCCTCACCCACTGCAGGAGGTGGAGATGGAGACCTACACCGGTACTGTCCCTTTGGGTATGGGTGCTGGCGGGGGCAGCGGGGCAGCGGGACTGGACTGGGCTGGGAGGTTGGGCGGGTGGGCAACGGGACAACGCGGCAGGGAGGGATGGATGGAGGAAAGGTGGGGGCCAAGTCCTCAGGCCACACCGTTCAGATGCATCCCCGCCCCAGGCCCGGTCACCTCCGCTCACTCGCCGCCCCTGGAGCCCCGTGCCTCCTTCCAGGTCCCGTCGGCTGCATCCTCTCCAGCCAGGGTCAGCGATCCCCTTCATGCCCTCTCACCCCGCTCTCTGAGCCTCTCACGGATACTCTGCAGACAGGTAAGGGAAACTCTCATCCCACACTTTGGGGCTCCCCAGGGTCCCTCTTCCCCATTCGGAGTGGTTAGCAAGGCTGCGGCCCCAGAGGACGTGTCCTGCGTGTATCCTTGGCGTTTTCCATCTCCGCTGGGTGAGTCCTCAGCCAGGTGGCTCAGCATCACCAGGCCAGCTGTGGTAGCAGAGCCCCTCATGGGACTCCGAGTCCCTTTCTTCGGCAGAAGCCTCAGGCCCCCACGGTGGCTAATGTGCCTGTACCACCCAGCCTGGTCCATAGCCTCTGCCTGCCCTTCCCCTCAGTTCCCACTACCTGGCACAAGATCCTCTTGCAATATGGAAGCTCTTGGGAACTTCCTGTTCTTGGGGTACACGTTGGGCTTTGGGTATGTGGGGCTCAAGAGTGAGGAAGTGGCCTGGGCCCTGTAAAGTTCTCTGGGCCCTGGAAGACTGTCTTGGAGCTCAGATCCCCCCCCCCCCCAGGCCTCTTCTCCATGTGCCCACAGTGTAGCAAATTCATCCTCTGAAGTCTCACAGGTCGGTGGGTAAGGCTAAAGTCAGGACAGCTCCTGGTCCCACCCAACCCTGAGTCACCAGCCTGGAGGGTGAGAGCCACCCTGGGTATTGCCAACCTTGACCTTTCCAGGGTCCCTGATGGTAAAGAAAGTGCCTGACTGCTGGGTGCTAGGCAGGGTCTTTAACTTGGCTGTCTGTGTCCTTTCAGGAGGCCATGCACACCGAGTCCCTGGAAGGGCAGGTTGATGACCCTGGAGAAGACAGCGTGCCAGACCACACAAAGCCTGCTGAAAACACCTCCACGAGGCAGGTGTCTCTGGGCTCCCCACGACCTGCCAGTGTCCGTACTCGCAAGCACACTTTCGGGCAGCGCTGCATCTCTAACCGCCCTCCCGCCCCGGGAGGAGAGGAGGCTGAAGCAGCAGACCCGGCAGATGAGGAGGTCAGCCACATCACCAGCTCAGCCCACCCCTGGCCTGCTACAGAGCCCCCCAGCCCAGAGGCCTCCCCAACAGCCTCCCCTGCTGCCAAAGGGGCAGTGGGCAGTGGGCGGGACCCACACAGGTTCTGCAGTGTGGATGCTCAGAGCTTCCTGGACAAACCAGGCCGGGCGGATGCACAGCGGTGGCCCTCTGTGGAACTGGATAGTGGAGACAGCCACCTAGAGTCCGGGGAGGGAAGGGGCCGGGCCTCAGAGCTTGAGCCCGCTCTCGGAGCACGGAGGAAGAAGAAGATGAGCCCCCCCTGCATCTCCATTGACCCTCCCGCTGAGGATGAAGGCTCCTCCCGGCCCCCTGCGGCCGAAGGTGGCAATACTACCCTGAGGCGCCGAACCCCGTCCTGCGAGGCTGCCCTCCACAGGGACTGCCCAGAGTCCACAGAGGGCCCAGGCACTGGAGGGGACCCTGTAGCCAAGGGTGAGCGCTGGGGCCAGGCTTCCTGCCGAGCAGAGCACCTGACTGTCCCCAACTTTGCCTTCGAGCCTCTGGACATGGTGGGACCTGGTGGAGACTCTTTCTTGGACAGTGACCAAAGTGTGACCCCAGAACCCAGAGTTTCCTCTTCGGGGGCTGTAGTGCCTCTTGTACACCATGAAACTGAACCTTCTGTGCCCTCTGGTGACCCCCCAGAGAAAGGGCAAGGACTGTACCTCACTGTGCCCCAGACCCCCTTGAAGAAACCAGGGTCTCCCCCAGCCACCCCTGCCCCAGATAACAGTGGAGATGAGCCTGTGTAGATTGGGCTGCGTATACACAGGGATTTGGCATCCAGGTTGGTGGCTCCCTGCAGGGTGGTAACCCCAGTCAGGGCCATGAGTGGACCCCGGCTCAGGCCCTACTGAGGCAAAGGGACCCGGAGATGTCATCCCGGGAGAGGCAGCAGACATTCAGTCTCTGCACCATGATACAGGAGCAGCCTCGGGCCCCACGAGCCTCCCTCGTGGTGATTCAGGTTTGGGTTTTTCTGAGTTTTAACCACCACCATCTGAAGTCGTACCAGGACCAGGTCAGTTAGTCTCAAGAGGAGAGGCTACATCCTGGGAAGGACCAGAAACTCCTCGTGGGCAGGAGGGCACCACAGATCCATCCATATGACACAGAGTTCCATAGGGAGCACGCGCTTGAGCCCCTTGTGCCCTGGTGGGCAGACACTTGGTCCTGTAGCCACCACATCCCATCTCACCTTCGTTCACAGTCCTGTTCCTGTCCATCACTCGGCATTCTTCCTCTCACACTACCCTATTCCATCCTCCTAGATGGTCTAGAAACCTTTCGGTGACCCTGGGAAGGGCCACATCACCAAGGAGTACTGGCCCGTGCAATAAGACATCACAGTCCCAACTGAGCGGGGCTTCCCATTCCATCCCAGGCCTCTGGCCCCGACATTCATCTGCCATCCGTTTGCTTTGTCATCTGTTTTACACATTCAGGTTCAACGTCGCAATAATCTGATGCAGAAAACTTGGCTTCCTAAGTCAAAGATAAGGGGAGGGAAGGGGCAAAGCAAAGCTGAATAAACACTAACTTATTTAAGAAATACGCTTGGAGCCGGGCGGTGGTGGCGCACACCTTTAATCCCAGCACTCAGGAGGCAGAGCCAGGCAGATCTCTGTGTGTTCGAGGCCGGCCTGGTCTACAGAGCCAGGACAGGCACCAAAACTACACAGAGAAACCGTCTTGAAAAACAAACAAAAACCACTTGGGTTGTGACACCTGAGTCAGAGGTCTGAAGTTGGGTGGGAGGTGGAGCCTAGCCAGGATTTCCCCAGCCAGCACTTGACCAACAGGACTCCAGAGACCAGCAGCAGGAGGAGGCTGGGCAGGAAGAGGCCAGCCAGAAGGGGAATCCAGGCAGGCCCTCGTATTCCCGAACCCCCCAATTGTGGGATATGGCGATGGATCCAGTTCACGTAGGCAGTGACTCGAGCGTAGACACCGGGCCGGTCAGGGCGGCCGCAGCCCTCACCCCAGCTGACCACGCCAGCTTGCTGCCAGGTCCCAGCCACCTGGCAGACTAGTGGCCCTCCAGAGTCATCCTGCAGGCCGGGTCAGAATGAGGATGGGATACCAAAGACTTGGGGAGCCCCGCCATGCCTCAGGCTGTGCGATCCCGCCGTGCTCCCAGCCAGCTCACCTGGCAGGCGTCCCCAGGGCCCTGGGCGCACAGCATGTCCGGCTGGATGATGGTGCCGTTGGGGCTGCTGTAAGCCTGGCTGCAGGTCTCTACATCCACCACAGAGACTTCTGCCTCCTGCAAGTTGTACGGAGGCTTCAGAGGCTCTGAGAGAAAAAGAAAGTTCAGGAGGAAGCTGAATAACCAGCCCTACAGTGCTGGGAGTGAGCAAGTGGCGGGCACATCCCTCCTGCAGTGATCAACCCCACCCCACTCGACCCGGTGCTGGCCTTGTCAACCCCAGTCTGTCGGTCAGACTTGTGGATCTTGGCAGAGACCAATATGTGATTGGCTTTTAGGAGGAACAGATGTGGCCACTAGGAGCCAGTGGTAGCACCAGTACCTCCTGCTCCCCGCCCCCCCACCCTGCCCCCAGGTGGCCCTTGCCATCTCTTACCCCATGGGAGCGGGTTTCGGAAAGTGCTCCTTACCTCCCTCCCGTATATGGCCCCAGCCTGTCACCCAGCACCGCATCCCTGGGTAGAAGTCAGTTGAGGCCTCTGGGAGGCACACAGGCTGGACCCAGCTGGAGAGGGCCACAGGGGTGCCCAGCTGCACCAGGGCAATGTCTCCACTGGACCCTGGTGGTCCTGGGGGGCTAGAGTACAGGATGATCTGCTTTACAGTGGAGAAGTGGGGAGACAGGGTGATCTTGAGCTCTCCCAAGTGCACCTGGTAATCAGATGAGTTCACAGACCTGGGAAGTGGGGAGAGATGTTAAGTGAACCCCTAAACGACGACTAACCTCCCCACCACCCACCTCTGCCAATATCCAATGTCCCACTTGTCCTCAGCTCTAGGCACAGAAACAGCTACTGTGTACCCTGGGCCTGAGCCTGGCAGTGCCTCACACCTCAGAGCCCAAGACAGCAGCCTGGGGTCCTGCCACCTCTGGCTGGAAGGTGTCCAGCAGGCTGGGGGCCAGCAACTGTCCCAAAACAGGGAACAGCAGTTCCAGAATCGTGCAAGATACGTAGAAGCGCTTTGCGCTGACTAGGTTTAGGATACCTCCCAAATACACGCTGGTTAGGTGGTCAGGATCACTCTCAAGATCCGTGGTGGTTAAGGGCTCCTTGCCATGCACTGGCAGATGTGGGAGGGGGGACCCCCACCCCCGCTGGGGCTGCACACTGCCACTTCAGGTGGGTGGACCTCAGTGTGGTTTTCTTTATTGAAGAGGAAATCTTGGACGCAAGGATGTGAGTCACAGGCTAAGCTGTTTGCTGTCACTGCCCCGTAAACCCAGGCAGTCAGGCCTCCTCAGGTCACTCACCCAGAGAAGCAGTGGGCTGCTGTGAGCACCCATTCTGGGCTGAGCAGGGACCCTCCACACACATGCACCTTCCGCAGACGGAGGCTAGCTTGCCATGGCCATGTGCCAGCTGAGGCAGCATGGCCTCCCACAATTCGACTTCCTGCATGCGAAACCTGGGGCTGGCCACACCCTGATCCAGAGGAGGCATGGGTGGCTAGGGAATCCCAGAGACTGGCATTCTGCCCAATGCCTCCCCTCTAGGACCTCCATGATTCCCACTCCTTAGTATCTTGGGGAATCCCAATGTCTCTCCTCCCCACCTGCTGGTTCCCCTCCCCCCCAGAAGCACTGTGGGTGCAGGAAATGACAATGCCCTAAAACAGTGGTTCTTAACCTTCCTAATGCTGCGACCCTTTAATACAGTTCCTTCTGTTGTGGTGACCCCCAACCATAAAATTATTTTCATTGCTACTTAATAGCTGTAATTTTGCTACTGTTAGGAATCCCAATGTAAATATCTTATATGAAGATGGTTTTAGGCGACCCCTGTGAAAAGGTTGTATGACCCCGGAAGGGGTCACAACCCACAGGTTGAAAACCACTGCCTTAGAAGCAGTGAGTTCGGGGATCTTGGTGTCTGAACACTTCCCCATAGGGTATAGCAGGCCTCTTAGAGAGATGGTTTGGTGGACTGGGGCAAGCAGCTTACTGCCTGGAGTTGAGGGCTTGAGAAAGGGCTGAGAGTCCTGGGAGCTATGAAGACCCAGGAGGATGGGGTGGGGGCGGGGTGCCTCCCTGGTGAGAATGGGGTTTCTTTTTAGACTAATGTTTGGAACTAAATAGACATAATATCACAAAACACTGGAAATGTGTTAAACGCCACCAGATGCTACACTGTATCGTGGCTAAATTTGATGTAAATTTCACCTTCATTTTTTGAATGAAAAGCAGAGGCCACCCCACAGGGAAGGGCTTCACTCTCAGTCTGTACGACAGAGTGAAATCGGAAATTGGGTCCACGCTGATAGAAGAAATAGAAGCAGACTACATCCCTTACCCCAGAACACCAGGTAAGTCCTAAAGAAGGCTAACAAGATGCCCCGAGTCTCTCTCCCAAGAGCAACATCAGCAGAAGAATCGGGCAGACTGCAGGGCCAGCAGGTTGCACAGAGATGCAGAGTAGCTCTCGAAGATACAGAGGAGGTGCAGAGGTACAGCTTCCCAGGTGAGGCTGGCCTGTGCTCCATCAGCCAGGACACCAGAGATGCCCGTGCTGAGTACTTGGCCTCCCCAGACCAGGCCACCCTTCCCCCACCACAGACTGTCCCTCTGTGGTCTGCGTGCCAGGACCGGTCTCTAATTCTGAAACATCTGTTGGGCACATACCTGACTGCAGAGCCTCCTGAGAGATACCTGAAGGATGGAGAGAGAAGGATTAAGGGAGCTGCCCATGGGAGTGACTCTGGTCCCGTGGGCCTAAGCATTGTCCCCACAGTGTCCCAGGGTGGCCCTAAGGTGAATGTTCCTGCCCTGAGCAGCTAAAGCTAGGGTCTAGCCGGATAGGTGGGGCCTAGCCAGGTGGAAGTGGCCTGGCCAGCTGCCATCCTAAGCCCAGGGTAGAGTGGAACCAGCCATGGGCCATAAACAACAGCTGGGAGGCACTGAGTACTGCCCCAGCCTTGCCCCTCACAACCTCTAGGTCCTCCTGAGGAGGGTCTCACCAGGGTCTGGGCCTATGGGTGTCCCCCACACCCACACTCCAAGCCACTGTCCCCAGCAATAATGGCCAAGCTAACCAGTTGTGGGGCCCAGGCAGAGCAGAGGCCCATCATGAAGAACTTGGTTTTTGCTCCCCCTAAGCTCAGACTTCAAAGCACCCAGATCCCTCCACAGGGCTCCCAATGCTCTCAGAGCTCCAGCTGATGGAACATAAGGTGGATCCAGGGGAAGGGCCTGGGAGGAAGCAGGCCCACTCCCACCCCAGAGCAGGATACAAATACAAATACCCCAAGCCAGCTCACTCACCAGGAACAGCCAGAAGCAGTAGGAGGCCACGGGGCCCCAGAGCCATGGTGTCTGCCCACAGCAGAGACAGGACCCCCCCTCCCCCTGCCCGCCCAGGACCTGCCAGCATGGGGTGGGGTAGGAATGGCCTCACCCCTGCTGCAGGTCTGGAGGGAGGAGGATACAGGCTCCCCACCTGATCCTGTTGCACACACACCACAGGGAGGAGCTGTCAACTGCGTTTGTCTCACACAAAGGCTACACCCAGCCTTGGCAGCAAGGGCAGAGTTCAAGGACATGGAAAATAACAGGAACAGAATGGGGCCCAGCTGTCCCCACTACAGCCCGGGCAGGCTTCTCTTCCCCCAGTGTGGAGAGGAGGCCTTGCAGCCTTGGTTCTCAGGGCATGCTTCTCCCATTCTCCAGATCCTCAGCCTCCAAGGCTCCTCAGAGAGGCCCAGCCCTCTAGGGTGGCACATCCTCCTCTGTGTCCCTGTTCTCATATCCAGCCTGGAGTCTCCTGACCCCACCCCAGGTAAACAGAATCAGAACCCTGTGCAGGGCTTCTGGTCTATCTGGAGCCTAATGGTCAGCTGACCCAGGGGTGCGGCCAGAGTCAGGAACTTCTCCCAGCTCCAAATCACAGGCCAGGGTTGGAGGGTCTCCCTGATACTTTTTAGGTAAGGAGTCCCCAATTGGATGTAGAGAAACTGGCTGTAGAGGGTGGCTCATTCCTTCTTCGGGATGTGTGACATCACAGGGCAAATTGTGCGTGCTTCGTGCCCACCTGTCCTGCGGCTCAAGAGAGCATGCTCAATGTTTGACCTAGTGTCAAAGAAGCATGCTCTCAGCCCACCCCGTGTGACTGGCCTCCCTCGGGGAGCTGCATACCTCAGAGGGGACTGTTGAGAACATAGGACCTGCCTGCCAGTTCATCCCAACATAGGGCAGGCAGTGGAGGGAAGGGAACCACGTGTTCTTAGGGCTATCCCAGCCAACCCAAGGAGCCTGGTGTCACTCAGGTTTTCACAGAATCAGATCCTGAGTCTTGACCCTCTGAACTATCCCCAGGTCCCCACAGGAGAGGACTCCAGGACCCTTACCTGTCCCACCTCCTTTTGCTTTTGGTATCTCCCCACCTGCATACAACCCTGTTCCCCGGCTCCCTGAACACTCACTCCAGGTCTGCTATCCAGACTAAAGCTCCATCCATGCAAGACAGGAGTGAGTGAGTTCTGTTTCCACCTGGCAGAAAAGCAAAGGGACAGGCAGCCTGGCCCTAGAGACACTCCACACACTCACACACACACACACACACACAGAGAGAGAGAGAGAGAGAGAGAGAGAGAGAGAGAGAGAGAGAGAGAGAGAGAGTCAGAATCTCCCATAACTGAGCCAGAGCTGAGAGCTACATCTGTCTAAAGTACCTGCTCAGCTGGGTGATGGCCTCTGGCTGAGACAGAGGGTTCAGGCCTTGCCCTGAAAGCTCTCAGGCCTGACCCCTGTAGCCCATGGCCGGAGGTGAAGCCAGTGATCAGTTTTATCTGTCAACTGACTCCGAGCTGAGCAGAGCTGCTCTGCCAGGGTCAGATAAGGAGAAAGCCCATCAGGAGCCTAGGCTGCTCTCCCCTCCCACCCTTCCTCCTCACCCCTTGCCTGGCCCTAGATGCTTCTCACTAGAATCCTGGTCCATCTCCGACTCTGCATGGCCTCCACTGAAGAATGGCTAAAAGCACTTATCAGACAGAGTGTCATCACCTACCAGGCAGGATCCACAGTGACCCTGAGAGAGTGAGATGGGTGGCATGGAGGAACAA